CAATGCTATACATATATATAGTTTTGACATTTTCATACAATTCTACTGAATTCTACTACTAGGGGCATAGTGACAGATAAAGTTTTTTTAATATATTTTTTAATTGATTTTTTGTGCTGATTGCGTTCAACAATTCAGATGGCAGCTCGTTATGTATCTTAGGTATAATCCATTGCCTTGTACGCTGTCCAAAATAGTTCTTAGCTTTCGGTACCAAATACTTCCTTTTTTTAGATTAACGGGTTGGGTAACCACAAGGCCGTTCCACTTTAAATTCTTTATTATTAAATTGTTCCATAATTAGTTTTAGTTTAATTTTTTTGTCTACAGGTATAATTTTACATAGTTTAAACAATTTTTCATATTCATTTTTACACAATTTTTTTTTACTTTTTTATCAACTAATAATTTTATTAATCTTATTTGTAGCGTTTTAATTTTATTCAAGTGTACAGGGAACGTTAATCCATAACAACACAACCCATAATCCATTGTTGCACCTGCGAGCGCATGGTATAATATATACAGTATGCCTTTATTTGTCATAGATTTCAAATGATATAACTTGCCCAATACACCACGTAGTTTTTTACAAACAGCTTTGACATGCTCAGTCCAACTAAAGTTGTTATCTATATTCAATCCGAGGTATTTGTAACATGACACTTGTTTCAGATTCTCACATTGGGATCTCACATGAGGTATTTGTATTTGAGACAGTATGGAGTCTATCCTTATTACTCCTTACAATATCCCACTTTATTTTTATTACGTAATAGTAGGGTACAATGAGCTCGCTGTTAGAAGGGACCTAACCTTGGAATCATTTTTATTCCATTTACTGAGAGGTACAACGAATAATCCAGGAGTACTGGAGATTTTAATGTACTGGAGTCCAGTAACTGGACCGACACGTGGAGCGGAGGCGACCTCCGCAGCCGTTAGCCGTGTCACGTTCTCGTACCAACTTATTAGCAAGGGCGGTGTTCAACCGCGCTACAAAAACTTTGAATATTATTAATTCTGAGATAGATTTTTTTGTATGTTCTCGAAGTGGCATATGTAATATGTTATGTGATGAGAAAATAATAGTAAACTTAATAAAAGAATTTGCTTACACTCTCGAATTAGGTTAAGCCTGTAATGGTAAGTAGTATAAGTTTAAGAAGAAATAAATAAATAAGTTATGAGGGTCTACAAATCCGAAGAAGCGTTTCAAGAAAAAGTAAGTAGTGCTCTTGCTTTGGCGGACCACTGCCGTAGCTAAACAGGAAAAAAAACTACAGTTTTTATTGGTTTTTCTATTCTACAAAGTGACAAGATACAATTTCAGCTAAAATAGAACTGGAATTGTATCGTATGTCACTTTGTACAATAGAAAAACCAATAAAAACTGTAGTTTCGTTCGGTTTCGATCCGTTTTCGATTCGATTTAAACAAAATTTATTTAGTAGAATTGGCCCCCTGAGTTGAAACTTAAATTGAACTCGACAACAACAATAACAGACTTATGAAATGTCATCATTGCGTAATTCAACAATCTTATTAGAATTTTAAGTCGATGAATTTATGATAATTCACTGTTTTTAGTATTGTCATTTTGATATAAGGAGGTAACTTGACAAGTGAAGCAGCAAGTAAGTTAAAGTTCTTAAGAAACAAGTAAGTAGGGCGGTGACAGCTGAATAGTGCAAGGACTCGTAAACTACGTGCTTTGTAATTCAGACAATGCTGTGACGACAGTTAATATAATGAGCATAAAAAATCATTTTGTAAATGTTACTTTTAATTTTTTGTTTAACATCAGTTCGCTTTTTGTTTCTTATATTTTCACGCATTAAATAAAACTACTTTCAATTGTTGTCATTGAACACGGAATCTGTAAAGAAACCGAAATGTCTGAAAAATTAAATACTTTTTTTAAATATACGCGATAAAACAGTTTAAAGTAGATTATTTAATAATTATGCTAGATCTAGGTAAAAAACCTTAAGTGAGAAGGAATAACGAAATTGCTACGAATATTGTCACTCGCGGATTTTTCTGTACGTCGTTCATAGCAAATTTGCTGTGAATTTACTAATCTGATTGCGTATATATTTGATACGGTAACCCATAGACGGTGTTTAATTTAATTAAATATTTCAAGCATAGGTCAGCTATTCTTTTATGTAAATTAGAAAATAAAATAAAAATTTGCATACCCATCGTGTGATATATCCATAACTCTGCTATTCTATTAAAATGAGTTTCGACAACTGACGTTGAACACAACGCTGTGACAGCACAGAGGTTCAATGAAATAGAACCTTTATTATCTTTTAAATTAGTTTTTATTTTATTGAACCTCTGTACCATGACAACGCCATGCTCGACGTGGAGTTCGAGGCTATTATTATATTACAGAATAATACTGCTGGTATGTATGTAGAGATGAAATCACTACAGGAGTACCGTGCGGTGACTCGACTTCTATCGGACGTGTAATTCCTTAATGTACTGGGAAATGGAAAGCTCACTTCGTGTATTACGTGACTGGCGTATGTATGAAAATACCCCTCATCATATTACAGCATATATATTGTGGGAGTTACCGTTAAGATTGTCGGGATTAAAGGCGTCATTCCACTGTTACGACATAGTATATAAATATAAATATATGAATAATTTCATGTGGTATAAATGTACACGCTACACAAAATAGTTAATAATGCGTTGTTACATGAGTAGAGTGCTTTTGTATCTTGTTCTTCGTGTAACCAACACATAAGGAATTAGGTGACGCATGCGATTTCTGCTGCGCTGAGAATGTCAACACATTGTATTTGTGAATTGGTATCTCTGTGCAGCTTAGGTATTATATACTCTTTACAGTTTGGAATGGCTCGGACTGAAGTATTGTTTTAAAAATCTATTATAAAGGGAAAACGAATGGTACCTAATCTTTTTTTTCCCTTCCCCTAAACCATAATCCCATCAAAAACATAATATGTACAAAAATACACGAGTCTCATAATGCAATTCTTATGCCGTTAAAAGTAATGAAATTAGCGTAAACCAAGTCGATTATTTCAGTACCTTTCTGTGAGACCAGCCATCCAACCTTGTCCTAAAAGATATCTAGCATAAAAATCCAGTAGTATTTAAACCGTCTCATATAGTAAGTTTAGCTTAGTGTATATATGAAGTATACAAAAAATAACCTATTGAAAATTTCAAAATTGATTTCAACGTCAAACAAAATTTGAGAAATAAATGAGTTTCTGTATTCAACTATTTGTATTTTATTTTCATAGGTTTTAGTTAGACTAAATCTTAGGATTTTGGTTAAATAACATCAATTAAGTAGGTAATTTGTTAATTTAGCACTCATTCAATCTATTTAATTGAAAAAGCCTTTATTCAGGTCAAGAAAAAAAATGAATTTTCTTTCATCAAAGAATCAGGATTTACTTAAAATGTAAAACCTTTTTTCCTTCACTTCATATTTTCTTATAATAAATAGGCTAAACTTCTTAAGCCTCTTTATAACAATCTAATGGCCCGCGATCCTGAAAAACGGTTCAAATATATTGAACCCTGTAGTTCAAAGACCTAGCAGTTTTTAATATTTGTAAAATATTTACAATCGTTGATGAAGTGAATCCCGCAAACGTTCTACGAGTCAATAGGATTTTTTTAAAGTTGTGACTGAATTTATTTAATATATTAAATTATTCAATTAGGAAAAGGATGAATAATAGTTATATAATGCTTTGTTGATGATATGTAGGATAACCTTTTATGAATTATTTTATACTACTACGACTTACTTAATAAGTTGCTTATCTTTATTACTACATTTTTCTGTGACTAACCCACTTAATATTTTGATAAAAATCCATAACTGCATTGGTTTAAATTTTTGCAAAACGTTTAAAAGAATTAAACGCAATTGGAGACAGTTTTTTTCCAAAGAGTATTTATAATATATGTGTTTTTAATATCATAAAAATATTCGAGTGCCTGTTGTGATCTGATTAATGCAAATATGGCTATTGCGATATCGGAAAAAAATAGATTTGAGAATTACATTTTGCGGAACTACACGTAAAAATGTTTTTTAAAAGGTTGGTATTAGTTTTAATGTGTATCTGTAGGTCTTTTATCGTCCTCATACAGTTTGATATATGATAACAATGGACGATACAGTGTGATCACGCCGTATATAAATGATATGAATCAAGTATGTTAAGAATAAAACGACATAAGAAAACAGTTAGTGGTTCATAATTAAAGCCTTAGTTTTAACAAAGAAAGAAAGAAACGAAATCAACGCGTAAAGATCACGTTTTTTTTTTCAATTTCAGCTACAATTTATTTGTACGTTATTTCTTTGTACAAAATCAAATAAAAGGTTGTTCGTTTTTATTGAAGAGACCTCTTAATAATTAATCACTTGTTCATTCAAAAATTCTATAAGAGACAGCAGGATGGTCTCTACATAATTAAATAATCCTATAATCCATCTTGAATATCTTGCAATGTCACTCATTAACAATTAGTAAATGTTTAAAATTAAAAATAGTAACGTTAAGGGCTATATAAGATTGAAATTATTGTAATACAAGTCAATAAATAAGTATACATTTTTGTTACAGAATGGCGCTACCTACAAATCAGCTGTTCAGCAAATCAGTACGTTATGTCAAATCATAAATTAATTTAATGTTCTTACAAATTTAAATTGTTTCTTTGTAATTTTTAAGATAACTTTGTAGAAAACAAAAATTATATTCGCTGAGGATTTCTAATTATTTGATTTCAGTAGCATGTTAATACTCTGGTTCTTGTAATTTAACATAACAAACAAGAAACAACAAACAAATAAGATAATGTTTGCCGTAGAGTTGCAGTTTCTTTCACATTATATAAGAAAAGTAATTATAAAATGAAACAAAGTAATCACCAGCAGCTCTGACACGAGGTTTGCCGGCGTCTAAAATCAATAAAACACTTACCCCATATGTCTGTTCTGCAAAGAATTGTTGGAGGTTCTTGGCACGAGCGGTCTATACGTGGACCTCGTCATCTCGATAGAGCCAGAACAACTGTTTTTCGCATCAATTAACATTAAGTTCACAATTCATTCATAGTCCATCACAGCAGTTAGCGCTAGCTAATTGCACAGCTCACACCAATAAATGAATACGGACGACTGAGCGTGTTAACGCGATAAGCAATCACATGCCGTGGACGTTTATAGATTTGTTTATCGTAAGATTAAATAAATAAAAAAGGTTACAAAACTATATTCTATTTACGTTATTTTGATTGGATCGATAGTACGAAAGCTCTGAGTACCACGCCTCCTTGGCCGGTTTGAAGAGCTTTCGGATACTAATGCCATCTAGCAGTCCATTTCGGAATTAAATATCATAACAACTCTCACCCTCTTGTTTCGTCCCTAATATTTTGTATGTTGAAAGAAACGAGGGGGTGTCGCTATAAACTTACGCGTTTGTATTAGAAAGGTACTTGTTGATACTATTAAACTATAACTTCAACTGAATACTTATAGATTTTGTTTACAAATCGTAGCTCCGTCTGCAGACGTCTGATAAGTTGATTTATTTCAAGTATTGTTCCGAGATGAACTGTGAATGTCATTGCGGAACACTTATATGTTATCTCCAACGTTTCTTCTCAAGTTTATACCATGTAAAGTTGATATATTACTAGTTTATTGTTTCATTTGAGAACTACGTAAATTCAGAGATTTTTTTTCTCATAGACTGACGTACCGCCGTGCCGGCTCAATGAAACTTGGCGCCCTAGGCAAAACACTGGAACGACACCCATAAAAAACATCCCCACAAAATAAAACACTAATAATATATAATAAATTGCTACATTTTTATTACTTGTTACATATTCCTTTATTATCTATTTCATATAAATAATACAATAATACTGACTTCCGATATGTATTTAAATTTTCTATTCAAAACCTAAGCTCTGCTTGAAGAATATACCCTTACACATTTAATTATAAAGGAATAAGGACATAAGGGTTGTATATACCTGAATAGAAAATTTAAAAATACGACGAAATTTTTATTTTATTTTGATATAATAAATATTTATTACGATTTAATAATTAAAAATAGAACATTTAAATATCGACAACTTACATTAGTAAGCTATTACAATAGCTAATACTAAACTATTCGAATCTTACCCTCATGTGGCTGAAATGGCATTAAGATTTGTGAAAAAAAGTAACAAATTAGTCAATTAATGTAGATATGATTGATACAAATTATACCTACATAAAATAGCTATAAAACTGTCCCATTATGTCCCATAATCATAAAAACAAAAATCAAATGTGCGATAGTACGCACACGGTTTATTACAAAACACAAAAGTAAATCATTGTAGATGGATATATGATAAAACAAGAATACAATATTTAAAGTATCATGCACAATTTATAGTTAATATCGGTAGAAATTTTGATGTACAAGCAAGACCAAATTTGAGTTTTTGTCTCGTCGAACTGCGTTTTTAATCATGATAATAAGTAAGTTAAAACAAAATATACTTATTTCATTATTATAGTATACTAGCGTATATTATAGCGTATGTCTTTCTCGTATGATGCAGCTTTCCGTAGGAGAAAGATTTTTGAAAATTAGTCCAATAGTTTCGGAGGCTAATGCAAACAAACAATCAAATCTTACTTCTTTATAATATATTATTATACACAGGAGCATTATATACCTATATGTATAAATAGTAGAAAAACCTTTAAACGAACACTAATTAAAGTTGCAACTTTTTTAGTTAAGTTAATAAAGTTTCGTTTCGTATAAAAGAATTGGCTCAAATGTATTCAAGAATTATTTGTAATATGAATTATATGTATTGTATTTCTTTAATAAAGGTAATGTTACTATTATGATGCTTAAATTCGGCTTAATAAGGAAGTATTTAAAAAAAAATATTAGTTCCCGAAATCAAACTAGATGTCGCTACGGTACGTTCTTGATTTCTTTCCGGTTTTCTCAAATAACAACTCATATTCTATATGTACTTTTTCGTATTTTGTATTGATAGCTAAGTTTCGAACTTTTCAAATTTCAGTTTTTTAATATCTTAGTTAAAAGGAACGGAAATGACGTCATTGGTGTATTCGTTTCCTGCAAAAATCAACTTTTGCTAGAGTCGCCGTCTAGTGGAGGTGCTTTTTTAGTGCTTCCGTTTTTTTTTAAATACTTCCTCATTAACTAACTCATTTTTATAATAACCAGTAACAAAATGCAGTGATTTTATATATAATAATAATAATGAATTGTATAAATATGCCGAAGAAAATGTATACAGGTTATTAAATTGAATGACTTACAAAATATACCTACAAAATTAATATGATAGTGCATAAATGCTATACTGTAATTCAAAGAAACATTAAATTGTTTTTTTGTCTTCTATTTGCGGTGTTTCTTTGTTACTTTCATCTTCTTTCTTCGTCTCTTCATTAACGTATTCTTCTAGTTCCTTTTCAGCGTTCTTCAGATCTTCTTCCGTTATGTTCAAGTCAGGGAAACGTTTCTGGAAAAAAAATACCACCATAAATATTCGAGAAAAGAGTGCAGACAATGTAGATAATTAATTTTCATTCATTCTTTTTGCTTAGTAACTTTAGTTTTCTTTAAAAATTCTATTTAAAGTTATAGTACTAAATGCAGCACAATGCGCCTGATCTATCGATAGACAATTATGACGTCATAAATGTATGATTAAGATGTTAATTCTTCTTTGCTATTCTGTAATAAAATCACCCTAGGTATAACCCGACGTCGAGCACAGAAGTTTAATCAAAACCTTTATTACCTTTTTCCGGCTTTATTTCTTGAACCTCTACGCTGTAACAACAGTGTTAACCATATAATCCAAAGTTGACATATATTCGTTAATTTTTTTTACGGAATAGCCAAAATGATGTTTTATCACTTATGTTATTTGAATATATAATGCTCATTCCATTGTATTTATAGCAACAAATAATTTGGCATAGGTATACAAAGCATACCGTTGAAGACATATAAACTTTTATCCTGTGAAAATGTTTCTGAACTATTATGATTCCGAAGTCAACACAAACAAAATAATGAAAGGATATGACGGCGGAAGGAAGGATGATTCACATCCTATTATCGCTGTTAAGTATGCATTTAACGGTATCGACAACAATTATTAAAGCACAATACAATATACAAGAAAGTGGCTCGTTAAAGCGGAAAGTAATGCAAAGTATTCCGTGTGTGTTAAATTTAGACCGTCAAGTTATGCCTGTTTAGAAATTTTCTGAGAAAAATCGTGAAAATAGTTTAAAGATATTGAGATTGAAAGCGATGTCATATAGTTTGTTGGACTCTTACTGTAATTTAAGGGTCTCCAAATGGCTGAAGCGTCCGCCAAAATCATAATGATATAATAAAGTTAAAAATGTGCGCTAGTGCCTCCATATAACATCTATACGCCTCTGCTGGCTTCCCGTTCTCATTATTTCCTTTCAAACACTTTTACATCCTTACTGTATCCTCTACGGTCATCCCACCCTTCCCGGTTCCCGTTTGCCCCTTCCAATAGTTTAAGGGACAAGCCTTCCTACAGAGTTGTATCCAGAGTGACGCTCTCAGAAAGAAGGATTTCGCCTTTTCAATCCATTGCAAAGAGCACAGAAAAAAAAATTACCTACGTATATGTTTAATATAAAACTGTGTACCTGAAGTTCTTCCAAAGTATGCTGTATGTTCTGTTGTTGGTTCCTTAACCTTCTTGGTAGCATAAATATTACGTTAAACAGCCTCAGCATCAGCCAACACATTCCAGTGAGTACCACGTACACGAACATAGCCTTACCCATCGCCCAATAATCTACGTTCACTTGTTGGTTTTTCATTTTTCTAATTTATAACAAACTAAGATTCTTGAATATATCTATCTAATTAAAGACGAAAAAGTCAAGATATTTGATCTCTTCGAAGAGAAAAGAGGAGTTTTAAAATGAGTAGTAATTATTGCTTTAGAATTGTCTTAACGGAATTGCATAAAAAACAAAGGATGTCTACACATATTTTTGTAATATTGTTTCCGTTAGTGAAGGTGTGTTAGTAATGACGTTATTTATATGAATGACCTACTTCTCATCGATTCAATGTCGGCTACGGTATGTCGTTCACCGAATTATTGATAGTACAGGGGTTAGTAATTTTTATACTTGAATCAAGTGAGCAATACTAAAAGTTGTTTTAGGACTTCGTAAAATTTTAAATAGAGTCAATATGTAACGTCATCGCAAAAACAGTACTTATTAAAGTGATAAATTTATGTTTTGAATTTAAAGTAAATGTAGAAAGTAAAGTTCAAAATAAGTGTGTAAATTAGTCAGTATATGTATGTGTGCCGTCTGTTGTGTGTGATGCAAGTACTCTAGCAACTTAGTCTAATGGTGGAGGTGGGTGGCGCAATGAAAAGAACTGGTAGAATTCCTCAGTCTTGATTTATTTTCAATTAGTATTACATTAGTACACTTACAACCAAAAACTATGATACTCACTCTAAGCTGGTCTCGATCAGAAAGGGCAGATTGACAACCAGCAAAAGGGTCTGACGCAGAATGTGCACTTCGCAAAATGTGCACTTGACAAAAAATGCGCTTTTCGCATTTGGTGCACTTCTCAAAATGGGCACTTCGCAGAATGAGCATTTCGCAGAATGAGCATTTCGCAAAATGAGCACTTCGCAGAATGAGCACTTCGCGGAATGAGCACTTTTTGTGGACGTTTTTAATTAATAAAAAAGAAATGGGTATTGCGTATTTAAAATCAAATAAACACTTTTATAACGTATTTATTTAAAAAGTAATTAAACCCGCTTTTTATTAGTTCCAGCAAACCACATTCCAACTGCCTGGAACTATATTTTAAATCGTGCTCCAGAAACCCCAGAAATGAGGCAATTTCAAAATTACTATGAAAAAACATGGTACTCAAAAATTTTGCCATCGATTCTGAGTTGTGCAAATCAAAGACATAGGACAACTAACGCATTAGAAGCATGGCATCACCGTGTCAATGCTCGTGCTACTTATACATGTTCATCCACAAATTAAAAAAAGAAAGCAAGAATTGGGATCGTCATATACGTAACAGTTTATTTATGAATGTCAAAAGAAATCGCAAGCAAAAAGATATTGTTTTCGATCGCAAATATAACAGGCTGTTGGGTAAATTAGAAAATGGTAATGTAACAGTGCCTAAGTTTAAAAAAAGTATTTTTTTTGCAGTTTATGAAGTAATTCACTTAATAACATTTTTCTATATTGTATAATAACCAGCTAAAATCTTCATACTATTTTTTGTTAAAAATAGGTGAGATTAGCATATTATTTATTGATCTAAAATGTGATTCTTATTTGTATTTACAGTTATTTTCGTAAGGGTGATGTCAAGCATTTAAAAAATGGGTAATTTTTTGTATGTGCATTAAAATAATCATCTAGGTTTTCGTATCTGTTTTATTAAAATTATTTAATATTTTTAACTAACAATCAAAACCTAGTGGACTTAATTACTTTTTAAATAAATAATTACGTTGTAAAAGTGTTTATTTGATTTTAAATACGCAGTACCCATTTCTTTTTTATTAATTTTAATTAACTTCCACAAAAAGTGCTCATTCGGCGAAGTGCTCATTCTGCGAAGTGCTCATTTTGCGAAATGCTCATTCTGCGAAATGCTCATTCTGCGAAGTGCCCATTTTGAGAAGTGCACCAAATGCGAAAAGCGCATTTTTTGTCAAGTGCACATTTTGCGAAGTGCACGTTCTGCGTCAGACCCCAGCAAAATACGAACCCGCGAATTCGAATACGAAAAGTAATAATTTGAAATATTAACGGCCAGCACTTGACCATAAACCGTTCGAAGAGTAAACCTGCCTATAGTAATGTGCTCGGACGTTACAGTACGATATAATTTAAATGTTTTAAATAAGGAATGGCAGAAGACATCGTTTTATCCGATGCCTCGTTTTTGGCACTTCAAGGCGTTCTAATTGACCAATAGGCAAATAGGTATATTACTTTATCGTAAGGGTTTTTAAAATGATGCATTATGGCGAAACTAATACCATTAACAGCAGTAATGTGTTTAATTTCACTTTCTCGTAATTCTACAAATGGCTGGTCTTAGGACCAGGTTAAGATTATTCTTATAAATGATAAATAAATCGTGTCATCTGCCCTATAATATATATCAGTTCTGATGTTCAGTGGTCAACAAAACGCGGAGCATCTTTGTTAAATAAGTACCAACCCTTACCTTAACCATGGATTCAAAATTAAGCCATCAAGCGATTGATTTCGATAACTGTATTCTTTTTACAATTAAAATATATACAAAATTCATATACTTAGATCAGCTTAAATACAAAGACAGTAGGATTACAAAAGGTTGCGTACATATGAAATCGATAAATCGATGGTAGTAAAACAGGTATAATAATTAGTACTGGCGTGTGACAATACCAATATGCTGTGACAGCTGATCGCAAACCAGTTGCCTATGCGGTACATACTCTGTTGTAAATCATATATTTACCAAGATATCATTCAATATTGATTATGAAAGGCGGCTGTTATTTTTTTCAATATCACGTGTATTTTATATACCTTGATCTATCTTTAGTCAAGTTATATTTTAAGAAATACCAAGTCAAATCAGCCCTGCGCTTCTATAAAAATCCAGACCCAATTTCGGATTCACGTCATTGACTGTAGAGATTCCATATTTTATGTAAAAATACAAAACAAAATTGATTGAATATACGTGTCTCAGATACTCTATTTTTGTCATTTCCAAACTCACTTCACTTGTGCCACGAAACGTTATTACCGATTCAAGGTTGAGCGGATGCCGCTTTTTGAAGTGAATTCTGTAAAAATCCAAACCCGAATTCGAATTCACTCAGGTGTCAGAATATAGTCGAAAATTACTTGCGCTCAACACTCAGCCAACAAAAGAATGGTAGCTCACTCGCTACTTTATATAGAAAACTTGCTTTTGCCCGCGTGGTAAAGTTACTTTGAGCAACATTTCTAACGAATATTTATTAATTAATTAAATGAAAATCCTTTCTTAGGGGATACCTACGTCATAGTAGTTTAATGCATGCAAAGTCTCAGCCCGATCGGTTTAAAATTGACAAAGTTTCATACAAAATTTCATCCCCTATTTTATTCCCTTGGGGGTAGAATTGATCAAAATCCTTTCTTAGCGGATGCCTACGTCATACTACCTGCATGCCAAACAGCCCGATCCGTCCAGTGGTTTGGGCTGTACGTTAATAGATCACTATGTCAGTCAGTCACCTTTGAGTTATATATGTTTAGATTATATTGTTATGGATTGTCAAAACATAATATAAAAATTCTGAAACTAGAAATTACGAACAAGAAATTTCGTATAGTTATTTAATTTACAATTATTTTTATTAATTAAATGAATGTAGCATTTGAGAAAATACATCGAGTTTCATATAAGTTATTTGTCAATTTTTCTTCGAACATGGAATATGAACAGCATATAACACTCATTGGGGACGGAGGCGCATTCTCATTATGAGCCTAGGGCGGTGAGCCCCGCGATTCTGTAAAAATTCCGGCCCGGCTTCGAATTCACTCTTGTCTCCGAATTCACATCGCTTATTATAGAAATTATATTGGTATGGGTTGAAAAACTCATTGTTAAAAATATTCTTATTATAATTACCACATTAGGGAACATACCCGTAATATTATGGCTTTTGATAAATTACAATAAACCCTTTGAAATTCCAAAAAATATACTTAAAACGACATAATGGAAAACAATACATTGCGTATTTTGAATTTTACATCTTTATTTTGTCTTGTTTTCTTTTTACCTTTATAAGAATGGATAGTTAAAAATGATACGTAATTCTGCCTATTGAGACAGGCTATACACTTATTTTACGAATTAACATGACACTTGGCTCAAAATTCTTTGGGGTGAAATAAAAATGTACTTGAATACAAAATATCAATGTTTTATTGAAAACTACATTTTTACATTATACAATTGAAATATTAAAATTAATATAAATAAATATTCGTAAGGGTGAAGTAGCTAATTAATTATGTTTCAGCACATTTACATAGTCACCTACGTTTAATATTAATATAAAATCTAGCTACATCATGTATTGAGTTGGTCTTAAAATCACAGTTGAGTATTAGAAACTTACATGAGTAATAATTAACGATCTAATCGAAGCAAATCTAATAATACGCTTTTGGTGTTGGCGACTTCTAAAATGAATTATAGTAACATAATTGTTTATACATTGTAGCATGTATAACAATAAATATATAAAAACTTATTATATTTGATAAACTCTTTAGAAAAACTTACTTATTGAATTAAAAAAAAAAAATACCTGTTGATCGAACTAGTTAGCAGGCAAAATTTGTATTCCAATATTGAACTATGCCTTCAGCATAGCTCATATTTTTATTAATTTGTAAATATAAACGTTCTTGGTACTTTTCTATTAAAAACTTTAAGACAATATATTTCCAGTCGAAATATTAAACAATTTTCACATTTCTTATTTTTATATTAGAATTTGATCGAATTTGAGGATAAACATTCTTTATTTATAGAAGACTTGCAACGAATAGTATATTCGGCCATATGCCGAATACCGAATATTCGGCGAGCTTCTTGGCCTAATAGCCGAATATTAGGCATAAGTATTCGGCCGGTATGTGGCACCAAAACTTGTATCAACGAGATTGTTTCGCGCTCATTTGTTATAATGTACTCACCACTCAATCAAAAATCATAAAATTTTGTAATAAAGATATTAAAATAATATTATTATAAAATAAATCAATAATTTCTTTTATTTTACGAATCATCTCATTACAACAAAATATAATTATGATGTAATTAAGTATACGGTATTCGGCCGAATAGTATGGACATATTCGGTATTCGGCCGAATATAACAAAAGCAGCCGAATAGGCCGAATACCGAATACTAACCGAATATTCGTTGCAAGTCTAATTTATAGAAATAAATTGCCAATACGTTTCCGTTGTAAATAATCGATCGTGATAATGTTATTGTGTTATCAGATTATCAATTTGATCATTTTTTGGGCTTCATTCTACTCGGATAAAGTAAAGTATTAAACCGATGTTTCATCCTTATACAGCATTGTTATCACGTAATTGAATGACGTAAAATGGGAATTCGACCAAATGCGTATCCGACTAAGTACCTCTTGGAAACTTTACATATGCTATAGTTATTTGTAGATTAATCATTTCTTAGACGTGCTTGAACAAAAAATGGGAGAATACATGATTACTTTAATACGTAAAAACATGCTTTAAAAAAATATTGTCACTAACCATAACAAACCAGATAAAATCAATAACATGACCTTTTATAATAGACTTTTGTTAAATTATTGAATGAAAATAAACAAAAACATTAGACTAGTATATCCAACAATGCGTATTATGCCATCGTTGTGTAATAAACAGAAATTATAATAGGCTAGTGGGTTTCGTGCTCGTACGAATTAACATAATACCTGGCTCAAATCTCCATACTCCCCCCTTACCTGCACCACGCCCCTCTCGGTGCCATGCGAACACAGTAGCGATAGCATAACTGTTACATATCGTAAAGATATACAACACATATAATTAATTAATTTCCTAATTAAGAGTTATTATCTAGCTGTTAGTTGTTTTTTTTTATCGAATTTGTATTAGTTTTTGTAACGTTTGGATGTTTTCCTAATTTATTATTAAGATAGATTCAACATTTTATCAGTTCTTTTTTTAATACTTTTTTTACCACTTTTTTTATAATTTTTATCACTTTGCACAAATGTCATTTTAGCAAGGTTTCATGTTAATTCATACGAGTAGTACTCAAGGTGTTGACTAAATATAGGCACAGAGTAGTTAGGTGGCCTATTTCAATTAAACTACTACATCCACGACTTTCTAATACAAGGACAAAGTATCAACGCCATTTTGGTCATTTTAATAGTTTTATAAGATTTTACTATAAATAGATGGCGCTAGTATTAGAACTTTACAAAATATAATAAAAAAAAGATGAAATCAATAAAAATAATCAATTTAGACACAAAAACCTACATAACCATCTCATGAAAAAAAAAACAGTTAAATAACAATGTAACTTTTAAAATATATAAATTTTTCAAATGATGATATTTCAAAAAAAAAAAAGGGAATGTATGAGACGAGACATTAACACTCGTAGCAGAAGAAATATGGAGTAAACAGACATAAGTATATTTTATCTTTGTCACTACATGTCGGGATGTCTTCATTGTGACGTTTTTGTTTAGAAAGTCATCGATTATCATCAATGATAATAATGTAAGATACAAGCCAAATAATTTAAAGTATTAGAATTCCATTCATGAGTTTGCTTTATGATAGTTAAACCTTATAACTGATCTATAAGTGAATCTTATGATAAATAATTATAAAGTACTAATTATAAGTAGGTAATAATGATATGATTTTAAAGTGGATTAATTATATAGACCTATGTCAGAAAGGAAATAGATATAAAACTAGCGGTAAGCCCGCAAGCTATTTTAACAATATGAGTCTTATTGTGAAGACATAAGATCTACAATGAAAAAATCAGGGAATGTATCTTGATGAAAAAGCTATGGTAGATGAGATAGCTCTATATCTACAGTCCATAATGTCCTATAAGAGTTAAAACAGGCAAACGCAATGTCTTTTATTTACATTAATTTAAAAAAAAACCTATATAAAATTATTAAAATGTGTATTCTTGAGTGGTTGAAAGGGGAAACATATAGTAGTATTTAAAATACACATTTTATTTAAACGGTTTCTGAGTTTAATAACAGTTCAAGTTCAAAATAATCATATTTTATTTACATACAATTATTTGTGCCTAGCGAAGAGATTCTAATTTTAATATCAAACTACTTAACCCAAGAATCAGAATCTAACTGCCTGAAGTTCTTTTTTAATTCTCAGAAATTTAACATATAACTCTGATAAACATCGAATAAGGGAATTTTACATGTTCATTTTGTTTTAAAATGATTTACCTTTAATTGTTAGTAATTTATAATGGAAATGCTCAAGTACTTTTTTTAATATTATATAGAAGTTAACTATTTTACTAAATATATACAATTACAAGAAGGACATTTATAATCGAATTTTAAATGTTATTAACTTTTCCTTTTGTAATGTATTTTATTTTGTATGACTCCGATTTTTTAAATTATGATCAGGCTAGACGGAAAACAGAATTCCGTATAACATAAAATGAAATATGATTTTGTGACATTTTATTTCTCCAATACAAAATCACTCTTGAATCTCTCAATGAATACCAGAAAGCATATTATTAATTGTTTTTATGATTTGTTTTTTATCACGAGAACTTCTATTTTTATAGCTCTATCATTTTAAGATTTGAATATATAGAAGTTTACAGATCATGGAGTTTTTAAATGAAACGGATTTAATTTTTTTTTCAAAGATTTTTGTAGTATATTATTTGGAGTATATTAAATACTCATACTAATGTGGAAAAAATATATTTTTTTAATAAACTTTACTAAAAGTTCTGATTTTATAAGTAAAAAAAAACTGACATCGGATGGATTCAGTTTTAGGAAATAGCAACTTTATTGCTAGAGTAATATCTATTTGTCTAGTTTTAGCTTGTTTGTTAACAATAAAAAAATACTAAGATTTGCATAGGGACTTATAATTTAAGAATGTTTGAAAGAGAATTTAAACTTACATTCATAGTAAGTTATAAAATATTAGTCTGAATAATTTTCAATGCATGCAAAATGTGCCGTACAAAGTATAGAAAACAATTTTTACTCGCCAATATACCGCTTTTCTAGTAATAATTACAATAAAAATAAAACCAAATAGTAATCAATAAGTCTGTACCGCGAACTGCTGACCAGACGGTAACATTTGGTATCAAATGCCCCGGTGGGGCTTGTGTTCAGGGCATATTTTGAAGACATTCTCTTATTTGAGACCACGCTTGAAGATTCTGAAAAATAATTACATACATTAATATACATCAAATTAGAACAATAGTACAGTCGCCTAACAGAGAGAAAGAGAGAATAGGCATAGATAAGTTAAATAGAGTAGTGAGTGACGTCTAGCGGCAACACAATCAACTCGATAAGTCGAGTTGTTTTGGCAACTCGAGTGAATAGAGACTCCAGTCACTCGAGTAAGTTTGACAAATAATTCTAGTGGCTCGAGTAAAAACAGGACTCGTGTCGCATCACTGCTATAACGTACACTTAGCGATAATAAGTGTGAAAACTATTTGACCGCTAACGTGCGCTCCAATAAAAGAGTGTGGTAAACGGAGCATCCTTTTTTCCCAAAGCTTCATAATATACTATGCCGGTCTGGGAGGGAGAAAAATCCATAGACATTTTTTTATTTATATAACCTTACCTTTTTCGCCGCCTTGACTTGTAACGTTATGAAGCTGACTAGTGATTCGTGTAAGTCCTTGTCTTTTTGCTTCTGAAAATGTTCGATTTCTACAGAGGCCTTTTTTGCGAATTCACTGTAAAGAAAGAAATACAATAACTACAGATAGTTAAAGTCAAACTAACTAACTATCTCTTTCTCTCTTTACGTCTGTTCTGTTGATTTTTTCGAATGACGTCATAAATATGGCAGATATTAAAAAGTTTTGATTTAATTTTAAGGCAAAAAAACGCGTTCACACGTAAAGCTAAGTAAGTATGTTTATCTCGTTCCAACAAAAGGTATGCTGTGTGACTCTCATAGGGAGATAACTATAGTACGGCCAACGAGAAGCGATACCAAATGTAAACAAAACCAATGCAATGTCATTAGAAATTGCAGGGGTGCGTAACTTATTGAAATCTATGTATTTTATTAGCATACAATAATATTTTACAATAAATTTCATTGAGTTACTTTATGTAATTGTTATTCTAAAAATCTATCAATAAAAATACAATGAGTTGAAATTCGAATAATAATACTCAAAACGATAGGCATGGCAGGGAGGTATCTCAAGACTGTTGACTTGACTTGTAGCTTAGGTCCTGCTATTTTTTATTAATTATAGTTTGAATTATTCTATTAATATAGTATCTATTAATAATATATCAAGAATGAGATTTAATGTCGAGAATAATATTTATGGCAGTAAGGACAAAAATGAAAATTAATGAATCACTATTATTTAAAATGATCGCCTGAATGTTGGCGAACCCGTCTTGACCTTGACATATTTTTGCCGGGAAAACGAGACATTGCGACGAATACACAAGATGAAAAGAGATAGCTAATATATTGTCAACTCCGCAGTCATTTTTCGGGTTAATGATCTTTCCTATCGCTGCTAGTTGGCTGTACTTTATTTTTTATTTCTTCGTGGGTTGTATTATAATGAAACGCTATCACAATAAATTTTAAAACGCAATTATGTACGGGTATGGCGTATCTAATAATAAAACATGATTGACTCACTCTAGATCCCTGCGCGCTTTCTCTATGGCATCCTTATCGGCTATAATTTTGGTGTCGAGCGCGCGCGTCGTTTGATCGCGCACTATATCCGGATCGGTGGTTCCGAACAAACGGGACATTATACCGGACTTGCCGGCTGCAGCGCGGTTGCGTTCTGCTATTCTGCGAAACGTTTAATATATTAACCACTTAGGTATTTACGCCCGGTTCGTCCGTACAGGCAAACAGATTATGTTTGTTATAATTATATTAATCTTATAAATTCGGTGGCGTAGTGGATAAGCACAACGGCCCGCGATCGTAGTCGTTAAGCAACTTTCGCAAGGGTCGGTCACAGGATGGGTGACCAAAAATTATTATCTCGAGCTACTCCGTGCTTCGGAAGACACGAAAAGCTGTTGGTAGTTGTTAATATCCTCCAATCCGCATTGGGGCAGCGTGGAGGGTCATGGCCCTCCTTAACCATCCATAAGGAAGGCCTGAACGCCTGCAGTGGGGACATAAAAAGGGCTGGTAATGAATAATGAATAATAATCGAAAAAAAATGATTGACATCTGTTCTTTGAACATGATTAAAATTATCATATTAGCAGTATCTAAGGCGTTTCTATTGTTATTGGCAAAATTACAATATTTAATCAGTGTATATACCTATGCATTAGTTTTTTATATATTTACTTATTTTTTGAGATTTTAATATGGGTGACGACGCCAGTGTTGCCTAGGGTGATAAGTTTCATTGAGCAGGCGTTGCACTTTCTTGCATACACTAGGTATATTGTTAGTTATTAGTTCTTAGTCCGGTATTTGGTGCTGGGTGAGGCAGACGTTTTACTTCCTATTAATATTATAAAGGCGAAAGTTTGTAAGTATGGATGTATGGATGTTTGTTACTCTTTCACGAAAAAACTACTGGACGGATTTGGATAAAACTTTACAGCAATATAGGTTATACATCAGAATAACACATAGGGTACTTTTTACTGGGAAAACTTCTCACTCCCACGGGATACCGACTTCCACGCGGACGAAGTCGCGGGCGTCCACTAGTCATATATGAAAAAAAAAATGGCATTCCGAAAGTGGTATGATATACAGATATCAAACAAATCGGGTGAATTACATCGAGCCATGAGTAAAGAGTCCAATCTGTCCATATGTTATTTCATATTTTAATCACTGGATCATTGTTTAGAAAAATACAAATAAATTTGAGGTATCGGAAGGACATAAGTTTGAAATCTCTGAATAAGAAGTCAAGGGTATCAAAGAACATAAAAACTACTATTAATAATATTATGCATGTTATCCACATAACAGAGAAACAACAAACACAGTATAGAAAAGGAAGCTTAATTATGTATGCAGTAATTTCTCCAATAGACGATTTCTCCAATAGTAGTACTGACCTAGTGTAAAAGAGCTCAACGATGCAGTAGTGAGCGCGCGTCTGTGATAAGGTTGTTAAGCAACTTTCGAAATTGCCGGTCATAGGATGGGTGACCAAAAATCTATTATCTCGAGCGTTAAGCCATTAGTCTCAGCTGCATCTGCAGTCGTAAGCACTCACCAATTACATCTATAGGGAAGGGCTGAGCCACAGCAGTGAGATCAGTATTTGAACAATCTCTTACCTATTATTGAGGGTATCATGTGCGTTTTCCAGCGCCCGCTGTAACCCCTCGTGGTTGCAGCACAGCTGCTGCAGCGCGCCCGCGTAGAACAGGTACTCCTTCAGCTGGTCCGCTAACTGTTCTTCATCTTCTGCTACGGAGTCTATACTGTCCGCAATAGAATCTGAAATTGAAAAAATATATAGATACCAAAAAGTTTCTAGTGTCATAATGATGTAAATTAATAAAAGTGTAAATTTATTGTTCGTTTTATGTATAGATAATTAATTAATTTCAATAGAAATATAATTTCAACGTATTTGTATATTTATTTTAAATTAATGATTTATGAATTTTATATGTGCAAGAAAATTCATTGGCTAAATAAGTAAAGCAACTTATTTTTTAATTCTCGAACACACTATAAAGTCAAAGGTACTTTGTCATTGTTTAAATTTAAAGTGATGCCAGATTTACCATGTATCTGACTGATCTTGACCGATGCAACTAATTTAATAATTTCCTTTATTTTGTACAAATACCAGTTATATAAATATTTGAGGCCCTGACTCCTAAGCTAGTTTTACTTGTATTTGAGAAGCCAGTGTCTTCTGAATGTCATTAAAATGTAAAAGATAGTTATAACATACCAAAATAGTGTCCTGCCTTTTGTAAACCATCCCCCAACTCTTTCTCTATAACACTCCATTCACTGAATAGTTTGCCATAGTTCGCATGAAGTTTGCATAATGCATAGTTCTTCTCCATTATTTTTGATCTCATTGATGAAACAATAATGCACAATAAAAAAGTATTCAGAAAATAAGTTTTAATGTATAGACCAGTCGCCAAACAAAGAATTTCATACTTTGACCTTACTGCCTTCAGGGCCCTTATTCATTATCATTACAATCGAGACTTCACATTCAAATTTTATCACTCGAAATCCACGTCAATATCATATCTTGCCCTAACCATGTCACAGTAAAGAATCTGCTGAATCATTCTGTTCCATATTCCTTTTGTACTGTATGATATGTTCCAATGGGCGGCGAAGTTTTCAACAACGGTCGAAAATTAGAACGCCACCATGTTTTAAAATTGGGCAGATAAATTTAAAACAGCCATTTTGTACGATTTCAGAGTGAGGAATTTTTGACAGTTCAAATCGCATTGATAAAGTGGTCACAGTGAAGGGCCTTAATAGATATCGTCAATTAGGTTTATGCAATGGCAGTATGTTTGTGCAACATTTGTAGTGTATGAATTTCTCTGTTTCGTGATCGGACTATGGTATAAAAAGACAAATATGTATTTCTATTACCTAGTGTATAGAAAATTTCCTAAGTTGGTTTCTAATTGTTTTCCATAATTTTTAACAGTTTCTATCTCTGGATCCGGTTTCTTTAGTCTGATGGATACTGACAAAGACTTAATTTTATTTTCAGCTTGTAATTTGTAACCTGTAAGTAAAAAAAATATTACATACAAAGAGTTTTGTTTAACCTTTCCCAATTAACACTAAATCACATTTTATTAGGTTCAACAAGATGACAATGGGAATTAATCTGAAAAGCTTGGGGGTTATGAGTCTGAAGTTGATTTTTTGGAAGAGTGTAAGTTATTTTTTTTTACATAATAAGACCATTAAAATTATACATAATAAGAAATGTTTTATTTTTTACAATTTTTTTACAAATCATTTAAGAAATAAGATATATTCAATAACTGAATATTAATTTTGGACAAATATTGCATGCCTTAGTATTGATAACTCTAAACATATATATTTTATTATTCTTTAAGGACATTAATTCCTTTCAGATTTCATATGCATTAGCAGCATATATTTGAAGAATACACCAATGACAAAATTGTACTGCCCATACAAATTCCTTTAATTTTCACAAAGATATTTTTAAAGATGTGATGTACATATTGATTGACAAACAATTTTGAACCAACCACTGTCAGTAATGGTCTCCCGCCAGCCATGTTCTTGCTGTAAGAAGTTTATGAACTGGTCGTCAAAGCATATGCGTGGGTGTGACGCGACACGCATCAAGAAGTTCTCGAGACCAGCCCTCCTGCGTTCTACAAACTCTGGGTCTGTCGTATCTGACTTTCGCCATGCGTAAAGTACCTAAGCATGAGTGAGGCAAATGTTTATATATTAATAATAATAATAAAAGGTTTATAGTAAGGCGAAATTCGTTATTAAAAAGGGGTCAGTTAGGAATAATCCAATTTAATTTTATATTTTGATATTCAGTAACACAGGATATTAGTATTTGTAAGTATAGATTTTTCACTATGTATCCATTTATAACTTTTAAGTAAATAATGGTTTCAATTTTTATAGTTTGAGATAAAATGAATCTATCTTAAGTACTAAACAAAGTGAAGATAACTTGATATAAGAATAAATAATGGTTATTTTGAGATAGAACTGATGTTATCATATTCTTATGAGAAACTAATCTTGCAGACTAAATAATAATGTTTTATCTAATAAAATTACAGAATATGCATACTGTTAAATTTATATGTAACATTTGTATATTGACTCTGAAAAGCAAACACATAGTAACTCACAAACCCAAAATTCTTCTTTGGAACAGAATATTTTTTACTTTTTAAATAAAAAAATCCTCTTTTCATATTAATTGAATAAGGGTTACCATTTTAGTTTCCATGAACGGTTCATAAAAACTTATTCTGATTATTATATTTGATCAATTTTGCATTAACAATGCTATACAAAAAAATATTCTTAATGAAAAATGCTCAAAAAACCACTTATTCTCTGGCACCGAAATAAGACATCCATGACCTTTCACAATCTGGGTGACTGCTATAACCACTGTGCTATTCATGAGCTTTCATTATAACAATATGTACAAATATTTCTAGAAATTTAATGTGTATGTATTAACTACAGAATAAAGAAGGATAGTTTAATTTATGTAAAGTTTGATTTCAGAATATTCTATTTTTAAATTTGTATAATTTTATGTACTTTTCATGTCAAGATGCTACAGACTGTGTAATTGAAATCTGAAATAATGAAGGTACTTTAATCAACCAGGCTTATTTTTTATATCAACATAACTGTCTCCAATGGACTTTTGTAACGTTTGTGTCATTATTTACTCACTCTTTTTTCTGGTAGTGGTGGGATGACAACATGTGGATATGTCACTTGAAGATAATCATGTATTTGTTCAAATTCTGTATACCGTCTCCATATTGTACTGATTTTAGACTGTACTAGTTTATATTCTAGGTCAGTTACTCTGTAAACATCAAATAATTATATTAATTTTGTAATATTTTTTACAGATATAAATATTGTTTTTAGATTGTAATGTAATATGAATTATATCAAAAATAAATTTTGAATCAAAAAAGGTAATTTCCAACAGCAACTGCATTAAATGGTAACGGTTTGTAGATATAATTTATTTTATTTTTTTAACATCATTTTGATTAGAGACTATTTAGTGTTATTGAGTTAAACAGGTTCAGGAAATAGAAGAAGAAGAAGGGTCATACAGGTTCAGACAACTAATTAAGATGTACATAAGAGACATTTCACACATTAAAAACAACAAAAGGATGTGAATCACTTGTGAAAGAAACATAATAAGTCTAGGAAACAATACAACGAAGTCACTTACTTGAGATCGATTAGATACACTGTGTAATGATCACGTACGTGAAGAGTGCCATTGGCGCGCTTCTCAGACTCAACAATTGATATATCAACATGTTTCAACAATGTATCCTAAAATTAAATCGATCATAAACATAAATTTTAGCGATAAACATAATGAAAGTAGGCGTAACAAGCGAGATTATAAACACACTTGATTTTCGTAGTCGTCCAATGTTTCTATGACGCTAGGTGATTTTGAAGGCTTCACTGGTGAATTTTCCACGGACATAATGACAATAAATTTATTAATAATAGTATGAATGCGTAACTAGCACAAGAAATAATTTTTCACATGAATCGTTCAAATCATCGTCCAAGAACACTGACTGACCGTTCAGTGAAATGTGTCAAAGTCAAAATTTGACTTTTTACTTTTTAAAACTTCATGCATTTCGTCCAGGAAAATAAGCGTTTACAGCGAATTCAGCGTTTACTATTTTCTGGCGCGAATCTTTAAGAGTCATTATTATGTATACTACGAAGTGATTATTCTTATTCATTCATTATTATACGGGGTGCACATCAGATGATATAATTTCATAGCAGTGACGTTCATATTTATATAATAAACGTTTGATATAACAACACTTCAACTAATCACTTTTGATATAACTTTTATTTCATTTAATCACCATTTGTTATAACGGTAATTTAATATATTATTGACGATTTTTTTTTATTTTTTTGACCCATGCAATCAATGCATCTATGCTAACGCATTGGCAGCATATTGAATTGCAACAAATTCTTCAAAGGCATTTTGTACTGCCTCTCGGGTATTGAATTTTTTTCCCGCCAAGAACAATTGTCGAACAGGATGCATTTCTCGTCACAAGTAACAATGCGGTTTTGAATTCCTTCATTTGTATGCTTGTGGAGCAGTGAAAGGCACGTCTCGACGCGTACTTCGCGCTAGCGATCATTGAGTTCGTGGGGTAGGTACCCATTTGTCAAGATTTTTTACCTTGCCAATTTGACGCGAATGGACCAATATTGTTTTGATGCTAACGTCGAAAGCTGCTGCTAATTCAGCCATAGATTCGAGTTTCATCAGTTTCCACATTCACTTTTAGTTTGTCATTGTCGACCAAAGTTTCAGACGACCACGGTCTTCGCTTTTCAATTCAAAATTTTCAGAACGGAAGCGGGCAAACCTATATCGGGTTGTGCGTTTGTTTGTAGTGTTCGCTCCGTAAACGTCGTTGATGATGCGTACCGCTTGTGCCGCTTTGCTGCCACGACGGTACTCGTACTCTATAATTAGTCGAATTTTTAACTTATCCTTGACGACGAAAAATGATCGAATGCGTTTGAAAATAAAACACTAACTATGAAACAATTGACGATTTTAGAAAAAAGAGTTCTATGTTTTTAAAATAAAATTGATTTGAAATTAGAATTAACAGCAAAAAAAAAATTTATTGAAATGGCCAGTACGACAGAACAGCATCACCAAATATAAATTTAAAAGAAATATCATGGTTTTAATCAATTTGCCTGCAGCTGGAATTATAAATAATGTCAGTTAAACTATTCGTAACTCGTGAAAATTTGCATGGCATATTTTTTCAAATTATATGTGCAGCTCAGCAGAGCCTCAGCAAAACAAAGCAGAAGTTGAGCGTATCGGTCTTTCGAGATGAAACATTGACCGAAAGCAATAAAAATAATTTTCTTCTCAATGTAACAACAATTTTTTGTGGATATTTTTAATATATAAAGTTCTATTTTTTTTTAATCCTATTTTATTAAATATGTTGATTTTATATTGATAAGAAATAACTAATTGCAACTGTGATAGTGACTGAGGATGCTCTTTGTGACACAGTAGCATTGCATGTTATCACACTTTTGGTAGCCGTTTTGGGGTCCGTGGGTCAGAAGAAGGTGATAGTTGAAAATCAGCGTCAGCCCTAGCTGACTAATGCTGATCTAGTCACCCTTTTTAGTGCAGTCATGAGACACTCAACTTTGTATTGTCCTTTTTTTACTGTTAATAATATGTAATGTGTCGTGTGCCTGTAATAAAATAAATAAATTGAATTTGAATTTACTCTTTCTTTTTATGAAATATTATTTATTTTTCTTATTAAAACGCAAATCAAATAAAAATGTATACTTACGAATGAAATATGACCCCTTGGTCTTTAGACGACTTAGTTATGTTGTTTCTATAGTATCGCATAACACAGGATGGCATTTTTAAAATGATGGTATATAAACGCACACAATCAACGCTTTATCCAGCTATGCTCAGGTATGCTAATTATCATAGTTTTAACATGCTACTTATTGAATTTAAATAACCTATCTACCCTTTTTTATTCTTACATTATTGCCTTATATATTATTATTAATTATTACAGCAGAGACAGTATCGTCAATGCGGATGCGTCGGCAATGCATCCGCATTGACGATACTGTCTCTGCGTGGTGCAACATCACAGCCGGCGTTCTGCAGGGTGGCGTCTTATCACCTCTACTCTTTTCTATTTTCATTAATTCCATCACTCACATGCTTTCATGTTCCTATCACCTCTATGCTGACGATTTACAGATATACACTCAGGCACCGTTTCTGCATCTCTCAGAAGTAGTATCTGTTATCAACTCAAACCTATCGATTATTAGTAGTTGGAGTAAATCATATGGTTTGACCGTTAACCCTTCCAAGTCTCAAGCCATAATAATAGGTAGTCCTCATTTCATTTCTAGGATCGTTTTTGACCAACTTCCTCCTGTAATTCTTGATGGTACTATTATACCCTATACCGAAACTGTCAAAAGTCTTGGCGTCGTCTTTGATCGCTGTCTTTCCTGGAAACCGCAGGTAGAGGCTGTTAGGAAGAAGGTGTTTGCGGCGTATGGCTCTCTGAATCGATTACGTAATTTTTTGCCGACCAGTACCATAGTCACTTTAGCGCATTCTCTTATATTGTAAGTAATGAGCGAGACAAATAATCTTGTTGTTGTGGCAAATAGACGTTAGACTTTCTCATCCAGTCCGGAAAAACAATACATACCTCGCCTGCCTCACAATCTATGAATTTCGTAATACTTCCATAATAATGGTAGTATTTGCGGTAGTCTCTTTATTGTTATGTCAATTTATAATGTTATTTTGACGAAAATTTAAAATTCAAGAATAAAATATTAAGAATTCTTAAACCAAGTACGAATATACTCACACCTTTTTAAACTAGCTGTAAGACGCGGTTTAGCCCACGTGGTCCGAGGGTACTGTGTGCTCACTGGTCTGTTATACTGGAGTCTTACGGTGAGTTGCACAAACGTCCATTAAGGCTTAATGGCTTTAAGCTCTAATGAATGTTAAATTTGTATTGGTAATGTCACTTTAAACTAATGACAATTTTAATGCACGTTTGTGCAACTGGCTGTTAAGCTAATCTTAATAAAAAAATCATCTGTCAATAAGCATCCAGCTTTATATCATCATTATTAGCTTATCAGCGTTCTCATACCTGGGGCATAGGCCTGCCCCATAGATGGGACCAAATAAGAAAAATCTACCGGTTATTCGATGGATAAAGCATATAGTAACAAATGTTTTCTTTAAAATAATAGTCCTTTTATTTACGTCGTTTAATAATTATTGACTGTTGCGCTTATTCTAAGCTATCAGATAAAGGTTTTTTTAAAACAGCCTGATGCTTTGCTTGTCACATAACGTCATGCTTTTGTACACTCCTCAACTTTAAGGCCGGTTATCTAAACTATTTCTTGTTAAATTTAAGTAAAAAAAAAAATACGTATCTAATATTTTTCATTATATGACTGATGGACTAAATAGAATTTCTTTTTTTTATCCATTCGTGATCACTATTTAGTAATACCATTATCCCGAAAAAAAACGGCAAAAATCACGTTTGTTGTTTCCAAAGGAGTCGTTCGAAATTTTTAAATACATTTTGGCCAACATATAACTCGTAAATTTGGAAAGCCGACTTAAGTGTTATAGTTTTTCTATTTAATTAGTTACATATGCCGTAACGTTCGAGTTTTTAACAACCGTTTAGTAGGCGGAGAGGGGAGTTGGGCCATTTGACTCTAACGAAGATTGGCACTTTGAAGCTTCACGAACGGTTAACTAAATCGAAAAACGGTCTTTCCACGTCTCTAACATTTTTGAAAGACCTATATAGACCTAAAATTTATTTTAGCATTTTGTCGGTGTGATTGAATTGTATACTCTTGCTAAATTACTTACATCTTTCTATAACACAGCGTTTTTGAGCTAAACCCAGACCGACGGATAGACAGACGAGTGACGAAACTATAAAGGTTCATTTTTGATTAACGGACCATAAAACTGAAAATGAAAGCTACTTTGTATGATACAAATCGGAAAAAAATAAAGATTACAAACCAAACAAAAATAAAAATCCCGTTTTAAAAGCACAGTAGCGTCATCCAGCGATCAGTAGCGTCAGCTAAATGTAACATTTTTTTCGCCCTATTATTATTTTTTTATTTAAATTGTGTCAATAAATAATAGAAACAAATTTCTAATTAAAAAAACTATATTCTAGTCAAAAATAAGTGAAGTTGTAAAGTAAAACCCTGAGAAACTCAATTTTGCCCTATTAAATGATGTTATTGGAAAAAGCGCAAAAATTAAAATGAAAACTACTTTGTTTGATAAAAATCAGGAATAATAAAGTTTTGAAACAACAAAAATGAAAATCCTGTACTAAAAGTACAGTAGCGTCATCTACTGATGAGTAGCGTCAGTTAAATGTAACATTTTCATATACTTAACTAACATTACATAAGCATTTAATATTAGACAACATTATACCGATTTGAATTATTCAAAATAATGTGTTGAATAATTCAAATCGGTATAATGTTAATTCTACGACACAGCTAAAATCATTTAATAATAGTTTTGGAAAAGGATAACATGGAATATAATTAAAATGACAAATTGAATTGTAAACAATGGTAACGATTTAATGCCCTATACGAACCCTATAAATCCTATATGAACTTTTCATCCAATTTCATCCCTTTATGTGCGTTTTTCATCATAAGATATAAGATTTTTTTCTTTTATCTCGCGGACTTTTTTTTACTTTTAAAGGGATTCAATTTCGTAATACACGATTTTTGCGTAACTTTCACCGTTTACTATTCAATGGACTATTCAAGATAAAAACAATTTAATTGGTTCCAATACTTCTGGAGATTATAAAGTTCAACCAAACAAACAAACTGCAGCTTTATTATTAGCATAGAAAAACGTAAGAATCAAATATTCTCTGAAGTAATAAGTAATTATTTCATTTTG